ATTTTCAAATTCAACACATGGTGGTTATATGTAGAGACCACTGTTGTTGACAAAAAAATACACCCATGGTTTGTCAAGGAATGTTGTGGTATAGCTGAGTTTCTCCTTCTCATTTAATGAATTTATGGCAGACTATATACTGAAAGGCCTAGTGATCCCAACTGTCAGTTTTAGATGTTTAATTTCAAACATGAAAATACACTTGATATGACCACCAACACCAGTGATGATAAATCCACCAAAAAAAAAAAAAAAAACTCTTCAGCATGGTTTACAGAAATATTCAGCAAGGCTGATATTCTCTCTTAAAATGTTTGGAATGAGGGAAATAATTGCACAGAAAATAAAGATTATACACACAACCCCAATATAAATCTCTATCAATATCAAGTACTTTGCAAAAATAAATCACACTTGGTCGAGGGGTGATATAGAGCATTTCAATATAACAAAGGCCTTCTCTTGATTTATAGGGTTATAGCTGTTAAAGAGCGCATACAAAGAGGGGAAGGACCTGTGGGATTGCTAAGGCTTGAATACTTCCAGAACAGTGTGCCAGTCGTCTTTATGATGCCAGTCAGCGTGATGGTGAGCCTCAGGGATTACTCCAGACAGACAGCTCAGTAAGACAACTGATTAAATAGTAGTGAGAAGAGAGAAATGTTTAATTCAGCCATATTTAGTATTCATGGGATGGACAGCCATACAAGAGTTCACCTTGAGGGGTCATCAGGAGAGAAGGTCCAGAATCCCAAAGAGCTGCCAGGCCAAGTTTCCACATAGCACTTGGAAACACAACTGATTGTGTTTTTAATTGCTTTGATTATCGAGTTTACTTTGGCTGAATTGGAAATGGTAATGCAACAGATAGCAAATTAACAGACTGATATGCCGTGAAAAGGAGTTCTGTTGTTCAGCTCTTGTGACATTGTAGTGGATTCACTAGCAAAAGCAATGCTCAACTTCAAGTGGTGGATACAAATTAATACATTCCTCAAACATTCAATCCACTGCATTAATGCATTGCAGTCAACTTTAATATGCTTGCGGTATTATAGAGTATCTTACAAACATACAGTGAAAAATTGTGGACATGATTGACTGCGTTAGTTTATATTTTATTATAAAAATAATTAACTGCTTATGTCCCCGCATTTATTATACCACTGTACAATTAATGCTCTGAAATAACTTGTGAGTTCTGAAGTACAACTGTGCTTTAAGAAAGACACAGTATGATTAATGCTTATCCAGAAGGAATCTGTACGGTTTGAACTGTGGATTGTTTCTATTATGTGCAAAAACGCAAAGAATAAATATTGCTCATATTAGGTAAAGAACCATGTGGACTGAAACTACTGTGGTGTACATTATTTTCAGTACTTTGAAGATTTCTAAGCATAAGTTTGGAAAATCATCATCATAATGCTCTCAAAACCTTCTGTTCAGTGTTTGCAGCTTCAAGTAATTCAAAACAATACTATTTATATGAGCTTGGCTCTGTGAAAGAGTGCCAGCTATAGAGACATGATGAAATCCCTGTGTTGAAATACCTCACTGTGACGTTCAAAACTAATTCAATTATATGCATCACCAGTTCAATAGACCTACAGAATTGGGTTATTGTCTGAATGATGAAAAAAAGAAAAATACCAGTAAATCATGTGTGAATGAAGTTTAATGTAAAAATGATTTTCACAAAGAGTTGCCAAAATGGGCTTCAAGAACAAGGGATATGATTTCTGCAGTCATTTGCCAAGCTATTTACTGTGCATCAACAACAAAACGTATTTACTATGCATCTTCAAAGGTATTCCTATTGTGAGGAGATAATATTGTGGTAACACTTTACTTTAAGCATGTATACTGTTTATAAATGCTAAATAGAGGGAATTAAAGGTCTAGTGTGAAACATTTTGCAGGATCTATTGGCAGAAATGGAATATGATAAGCACAGGTATGTTTTCATTAGTGTATAATCACCTGAATTTGTTTGTGTTACCTTAGAATGAGCTGTTTTAATCTACAGATGCCACGGGTCACCTTTCATGGAGTCCCCATGTTTCTACAGTAGCCCAGAAAGGACAAAACAAACACTGGCTGTAGATAAAGCATTTTGCATTTTTTGCAAGTTTTGCAGCCACAGTAGTGTACCCTACACATTTCACAGCCCATTCTCATTCCCATGTTGTCAAATACAGACGTCAGCAGTGTTCAGTTAGTAGAAAACTGCAACTTCACTGCTAGATGCCACCAAATCCTACACACTGGTCCTTTAAAGTAAAGTGTCATCAATGTGGTGTAGGGCCAAGTAGAGCAAACAGAAAAGGTTCAAAAACAGTGGAAACCTCTTTTGTAACCCACGCAGACTGCATCTATAGCTGTCATTGGTAATAATAAAGAACCACACATCATGCACTGGTCTAGAGGAAGAAATATTCCAAAAATGTACAGTATTTTTATATACTGTATGAACTGGCTAATTAAATCAAGGCTACATGTTTGGGTTTTGATCGATAGCTCATTGCATCAAACATGGGGTGTGAATACATCTGTGGAAAGTCAATGATGAGCTTCAAGATAAGAACCAGAAGATTCCAGGAATGTTGTCAGTGGGTAAAAGTCTCAAACAGCAAAGCTGATTAATTCAGAAGCTCATGTGTTTTTTTCCTCAGTTCTTTCATGATTCAACTCTTCAATATCAACCCAGTAAGTCAACAGCAGAAATTATAGTACGCTGTGGTCTCAATACCTGAAAATCCATTTAGGTATACAGTCCTGTTTCCCGCTTTTATTTAATTTAAAAATATAAATATATCACGGAGCAATGAAACGCTGTGAGGCAGGTAAGTGGAGGGAAATGAGCATCACCATTGCCCCTACCTGCACCACTTTGACGCTGCAGTTCTGTGATTTTAATGTAAATTAAAGCACCAAGAGATTTCTTGATACTCCAAGCAGAAGCTTCATCTTCTGAGCCATCTCACTGACATGGAGCCCAATCTCAGTGTCCAGGTAGGCAGTATAATCATCCCACAGTAAATAGCATCTATATACTTATACTTAAAATGATCAATCTAGCTACACCGTACAGTCTGTGAGTTGAAGGACAGTGACATTTTCCGATTGTTTTGGTTTTCTATTCCAGGAACGAAAGCAAATAATGACTCATAGCGCTGACTATTTTGAGCATACAGTGTAGAACTCCCTACCAATAAGGGATTATGACTGCAGTATACAGAGTTTGAATATGGGTGTGGTCCGACCCATAATGTACTAATGACTACTTTTCACCTTGTGAGTCTGTGTGTGTGTGTGTGTGTGTGTGTGTGTATGTGTGTGTTTCACTGAAGCAAGTTCTTGCCCTGGAGGCACCTACTGTAAAGGGAACTACCACAAATGCGGATAGATTTCATTAACGTGATACAACCATGCAAGATGCAATCACAAAACTTTACAGGTGTGTAGTTGAAATCAAAATGAAGGCAAAGTTCAAAGATGGGTCTGGTCCAACCCATGAGTAGTCAGCACATATGTCATAATGTAGTAATGACTACTGAGTACTCATGGATCTGAAGTTTTAACTGTGGCTGGTGTGATCCCATCGCAAGATGGTGTCAAGTTTTAAAGTTTATCTTAATTGCCTTGTAACTTTTGGTCCCCTAAAATTAATCAATTTAATTAATCTGATGTGGATATAAACACCATCAAATTAAAGCTGCATGTTGGCACTTAGACCCACAGTCATTGTTTCATTTGAAAATACAAACAAAGTGCTTGAGTTCAGAGACAACTTCTTTGTTCTTAGAGATTGCACTCAGTAAGTAAGTAAGGATGAACACAATACAAAAGCTGCAGGTCAGTTAGAATAACATATAAGATAACATATCTGCTAAGGAGAGATCTATACCTGACCTGTTGGTGTTATTGATCTGTATTGACCAAAGTTAGTGTTAATGACTTGCACTATGGCTGTAGCTGTAGCACAAGTCAATAACTGTGTGGGATACCGTATATGTACTTCTATGTTCTGTGGCCTTTGTGTTGTATATGTATTTATATGTTCTGTGTCTTTGTTGATGTCCTGAGCACACTGAAGCAAATCCCAAGCAACTTGCACCGAGTTGTATGGCAATAAAGTATTGAATCTTGAATCTTAACACTGCTCCATTGCCCATGATCAGTATTTTTGACAATGAAGTAAAAACTACTAGAAACATGCGCATCATCATCATCATCATCATTATTATTATCACAATACATCTGGATGATAGATATCAGTAATGAATGATGGAGGGAGCAGGTGGCAATGACTAAGGTATGTTGCATTTTCCTCTTAGATATTCAGCCATATCTCAAATTCATCATGGCTTTAGTTAAAGCGGCAGTCATTTTTGGTGATGTCAGGATCATATGCTGGAACATGTGCCACTTACCCAAGGAAAAGGACATTCACAGTGTGCAACAGTTGGCAAAAGAGCACCAAATGGTTTTATAGTGAGCCATAAGTCAAACGTTCCTCGACACAATTTCTTTGAATTAGCACTTCCAAGTCAATCTTTAAGACATATATGCTGTTCTGTACTACTGTTATATAGTTACGGTAGTGACGGACTGAAGAGACTCACTAGACAGAATAAAAGACAAAATCAATGAAGCATCTGAGTAATCTGCGCATGGAATTAAATTAATTAAATGTGTGGCATAAAAATGAATTCTGACTTTATTGAAAGAACCTTTACAACTGCTTTCTTACAAAAGTTGGCAATTCATACTCCATTGGCAATTGCTTTTTCAAAGCTATTATGACATTGTGTAAATCATTACATTAAATCATGGCAAACGACATTTAAATTTAGAACAGACAGATTGTGACTCCATGTCTCATTTAATGACATATTGACATCCAGATGAAGGAGAGATGCTTAGCAGTATTACAGCAGAAATACTTATTGATTCAGTCATTGCACATTTTTAATCCAGTAATTCAGATAAACAAGTGTGTTTGATATATCTTTGTTTAATCTTTTGATATTTAAAGGATCTCTTGAACTCACTTTACTGATGAATCTGTCCACAGATAACAGAAATAAGAAGGTGTAAGAAGTAAGAACTACATATAAGGGGGACTGTTTAGTCATAGCCATATACAGTACTGTTATGATGAAGGCATGAACTGACTGATTCAACTCACTGTAGAAATTCTAACAGAAAAAGGGATATGAGACCCAGAAACACAGGATGAGAGATGTGGAAGAGATTGCTCATCCTGATTTAGAGTATAAGTCCTGGGGGACAAGCTGGAGCTGTGCACCTGGGAGTGTAGCTCTCCTCGATAAACAAACAGACAGAGGACTCCTCTGATGAGTCTTCTGAAGAGGCAAGTTAGAAATCTGACTGGAGTGAGTATGCTCTCTGAGGACCACCAGCTGACCAAGATCTCCAAGAAAAAAAGAGGCCTGGGACTCAAAACAGGATGAGCAACCCATCCTCACAGCCATCTCTCAATCTGGTGTTCATTGGTGAGCAATTCTAGGACACATGCTTTAAAAAGTGAAATCATTGTTTAAAAAAAAGATGCACAAATGAGAGTGTTGTCTTGTTGTTGTAAAATGTGAAAGGCCACAGATATAATAGCCTTTTTACATCATACAATTATTTGATGATTATTAACATTTTAATCTACATGGCTGATTCATGAAAGTTAAATATTTGAATAAATATTTGTATTTGATCCAAATAACAGCTGACATTGTTTCTAACCAAATAATAACTCTACTACTGCTTAATTTCTTTTAGGTTCATGCAGTTCATTTTGAATCCAGGTTGTATATTGTATTAGGTTTAAACTTTTCACATCCATAAATCCAGAACATCTAAGGATACCATATTTTCAAACTTTGATTATATAATGCTGCCATCTGCTGGACAATAAAGATCCAACTAGTTTACAAGTAAATTCACTCCAATGCATGTAAACAAACATTTGTCTTTGGCCTTAAGTTGTGTGTACTTGTGGTTTCTTTTTAGCATATAACTCTATGTTGAAGTTTACCAGGTCAGCTAGAATAGATCTAGTACCACAGTCCTGGTGAACAGGCAGTACTACAAAAGTACAATATGCTAATTTTTATAAGCTTCAGCTGTTATGTTTTTACAGTCTGAACTCTGGAACACTCACTGAGGGTTCAAATTCCTCTACGGGGATCATTTTCTGGGGTATTTCTATAGCACTGGAAGGTAAAGGACATTATGTAATGGTATAAAGTGATAATGGACTTTCAAAGATTAAGTATAAGAATACTTACTGTATGTAAGGAGTGCACTTTGCTAATAAAATCTCCTATAAAATAAACATGAATGCCATACATTTGTAATGATGACCTTTACACTGAACTCTAGAGGGAAAAAAATCCACAAAAAAATCTATATGGATGTTTTTTCCATGTCAGTCTTGGAAGGGCTGAAAATAAGACACATGTTCAATAGCTGCACATTTTAATTATGAGTAATCAAAAAGTATCCAACAACTAATCATTCAAAGAAAATTGGAGAGAGACTTTCCACGGTTGTCTTATTTATCATTCATATACAAATATCAACAGATTTCATAAACAGATATCTAGCATATTGTTGAATGTTGTCTAATTATTAATGTGGTATCAGACCTGAAAATCCTCTAATAGCCTGGCAGTAATACACAGTGGTGCCATTTGAGGAAAGAAGCACCTAGGGCAAGGTGTAATCTGCAGCACATGCAAGAGTATTAAAATTGCAAATATAACTCCTTGATAAAACTCTCAGAAAAACATATTTTTAATGCTTCTTTTGAAAAATATGCCCATTAGCTGAAATAAGTGAGAACTATTTTCTGAAATTGCAGAAATGTTCTTTTTGCCTTTTATCCCAATGAGGTCCCGAGTTTAACACTTGAAAAAACATCCATAAAAAAGTGGTTAATTTATTTCAGTTTATCAGGCACGCGACCGCATGCTCACAATCCATTTGTGTGCTTGCATGTGAGACAAAAACATTAATGAATGCATTTCCATTTTAGGGTTAACACTTATTTTAAGGAGAAGAGATTTTAATCAGAAGGCACCGGTCAAATACCAATGTATATTTATTCTAGGTCTGACCACTACCTCTCCCTTCAATACCAAAATATATCTGAAAGACGTCACAACAGCCTTTCTCATTTAAAAACTGGTAGAGCTGCCCAAGGTCCATGTGATTACCTCTGTTCCCATGGGGGTCAAACATTGCCTCTTCAAAGCCTGTGAATTTGCGCAGGGAGTCTATACTTTCAACAGTCCTGCTGTCCTCACCCTGACGATCAAGGGGAATATCCTCTCTATGTCGAATCATGATCTTCTTCCATGTCAGAACCTTCACTCTGTGAAATGGGAAAAAGTTTGGAAAATAATAAACCTGGTACCTCAGCAGGCTTCTGGCTGTGACATCAGCTGCTAAAAATAACAACACTCAAGATACCTGGACCAGAACTCCTCGCAGGCAGATTGAGGACCTTCCACACACACAATACCAGGCTTCCCAGGCATGCTAAATCCTGACAGGCCCAGCTCTTTGGACCACTCCAAGATGTTCTTCCTTTTCGTCTTGTTGTAGATGTGGTGACTGTAAATCCACAGTCGGCTGAACACTTCTTGTGGCTGTAGAGAGGTAGACTCTTTCTTAGGAGCTGGTGCTGATAAGCTCTTATTAATGAAGAGCTGCAGGTTGTCTTTCACCCAGTCCACAGCAGAGAGCACACACACTTCCCCCTGGCAGTTTTCCATGAGGTATGCATTGAGATCTGCGTGGAGCTGTGTCTGCTGGGCCCTGCTTAGACCAGCACACCTGGGCACAAATGAAACATACTGTAAGAAGGATTCAGAGAAGATTCAAGGTCTTTGCAAGTGGAAGTTTCCATCCTTGAGAGCAAAAACTTTGATTGGAAATCTTGAAGAAGCAAATTTGCACTACATAGCACAAAATAACAGAGGCTGATAGGCTTACTAATGAATATAAATGACTGCTCACAATATTTTCTAAAAGCAAATTACAGTGTAGAGTGTTTTTTTCTTTACTGCTGCTGCAGTATTTTGCATTATATCGACCTATATATAATAAGATCTCTATGCAAAATTGATAGTTTAAGTTTACTCATATTTATTTAAAATATTAGACTGTATTGTGTTTGCCAGATACTGACTAATTGAATAAATAAAGGAGGATAAATGAAATATATCTTCCCACATAAGCTGTGATTCCTATTATTCATCACCAGACACCAAAAAATCCTCTTACTTTCTGCCAGAGTTACATAAATTATTGTCATCTTTGTCATTAGTCTATTGCTCATCTTCCCATTGCAGGGTTTATGGAATTAATCATTATAATTATTATAAACTAAGTCATTAAAGTTCTTCTTTTACATATGTGAAGAGTTCATCACCGTCACTGCACACCAAAAGTGGCAGTGCCTTACCGGACTGTTATCTCTGGTAACACGCTGGGATATTCAGATGGATAAGCACAGGACAGAATGACCTCAACCTGAATGGTGAATCAAAATAAGAAAAGAAAACAGCAGATAATTATGTTTTAAGACATGTTTAAATCACAATGACAATACTAAGACAACCAGTTACTCATTTACCCTCTCTGTGCTTACAGTGTCCAGCTTCTGTTTGATGAGAAACTGAGGTCTTGAAGGTGGAGGACTGTCTGTTGAATCTAAGCACTCCACATAGTCCCTGAGCTCAGCTAGTGCCAGCTGGTCTGTCATCTCCAGCTCCTCCTGGGTGGGAAACATGCTGGTCAGCAGCTCTATCTCTGCAAGCTGAGACTCTGCCCACTCCAAGTAAGACATGCTGCTAGAGGCAAAATATCTTCACTACTGTTATACATAAACCACCTCTATTTTTAAACAGCTTTCTGTTTCCACATCCAAAGATGTTATTGCTTTAAGATAAGGTTAGGGTACGCCACGTCATTAGTTACAACTCAAATGACATGTTTGTTTACCGGCAACTAAAAACCTAAATCGCTTCAAGCCTCTTCAAGCGTGTAAGTTTATTAATTATCTTTAAATAAGCGATATACAAAATGAGGTGAACACGCAGGACAGTCGAGCACCTGAGGGTCTGTAGTAATGGTAGTGCTACTGTTCCTAGCTTGTATTCGGGCTTTGTTTCAGCTCGGACGGTTTCAGGCGACGCACACAGGAAACACGCGTACCGGGCAGCAGCAACAGCGACACCACATTTTATTCCTCTGTTGTCTGCCTGTGTCAGCTGGAGGGTTTCTGCCAGATCACCGGAGTGGTTTTTTGGGTCAATTTGAAACTTTGTGGGACCATTTTCTTACCCGGAGTCTCTCTGTTCAGGGCTGTAAGCAGTAAACTGTTGACTATGTCCGGATTAGAGAATTAGATTAGAGGATTCAGCCACACAAAGTAAACGAAACTGAAAACTGTGAAGGTTTTAGGCTCCGTTTGTGACAGTAAGTTGACTGGCCGTGATGATGATGATCATAGAGTTAAACGTCTCATTAGTTGTTTGCTTCTGGCACTGAATGTACTGGCACTAAATGGTGGGAAACAGCATTATAATATAGCTGCTGTTGCTATTAGCCAGAGCTAACGGTACTCCAGATTACTGCTGTGTCTGATTTCCATTCATCTCTAATTGTGCTTCATGTTAGGTGAAAATGGGAAAGAAAAGGGGGAAGGACAAGAGCTCCAGAGAGGAAGATGACATTGACCTGACAGGTAAAGAATATATCATCATCGTCATGTCATGAGAACCTGTGGAAGGCCAAGGTTGACTGTACCATTAAGTGTTTTATATGTGTTTGTTTTTATCTTCATAGGTCCATCCTGCAGACACATTAAAAAGGGAACAGACCAAACTCTTCTAAAGAAACTCTCCGGGAATTCTGATTGGACGAGTTGCCAGGATTGTAAGCATGAAGAAAATGAAGAAAATAAAGAAAATATCAGTGCTACCCTGCCTCAGGAGTCAGAAGAGGATCATGAAACAGCTGGCGTATGGATGTGCTTAAAATGCGGCCATAGAGTGAGTTCATTCAGTCCATTTATCATTCAGATTTTGACAGATTTGACTTTTTGCAATGCTTTTTGCTTTTTGCGCGGCTTTCTGACAGATGCATCTTTTCTATCAGGGATGTGGACGAAACTCAGAGAACCAGCATGCTATCAAACATTATGAGACTCCTCGGTCGGATCCGCATTGCCTGGTGATCAGCTTGGACAGCTGGAGTGTGTGGTGAGCATGTTGCTGTGGTGTGTTAATCAGGGAGGCATAAGTTATGTTTGAAATAAAAAGTGCTTGTTCCCTTTTTTCATGCATTGCCAAACTTGCAGGTGTTACATATGTGATGATGAAGTCCAGTACTCCAGAACTGGACATTTGGCTCAGTTGGTGACCAACCTAAAAAAACAACCCTCTGCAGATCCCATAAAAAGACCACAAAAAAGTAAGTCCCATTGGAAAGTTTGCATCCCTGTTTTCTTTTCTTTTTTCTGGTGGTACAATAATTGTATTATGGGATTTACTTGTCTCTATAACAATGTTGTCCACCATTATGTTGTATTTGGTTATTTAGGAGTGAAAGAGGAAGACAGTTTGTTGGATGTTGAGCAGAAGACAGAAACTGTAAAAGCAGAGGAAACTGAGGACAAGGAAAACAAAGAAAATATAGGCCACCAAAAGAAAAACACCAAGAAAGAGAGTGTTGGGAAATCACAAAAGTCTGGTGCAACTGAAGAAAGTGGTGGTGTTTCAGTAAAGGGGCTGAGCAACCTGGGAAACACATGCTTCTTTAATGCTGTCATTCAGGTAAGATTGTGCTTTATACGATTCTAGTTAAAATGAGAGAGGTCTTACATTTTAGAGTTATTATTAATTGCTTTGGTTGTCTTTTCCAGAATCTCTCTCAAACACAGCTCTTAAGACAGACTCTCAACAAAGTGACAGAAGAGAAAACGAGCCTTAACATTAAACCTGTTGCCTCCTCGGATCTGGTTTGTTACCATTATTCTTTAAGTTTTTGTTTTTAACTATGACGAAAATAGATTTATCCTGTCTTATATACACTGTTTACTTGAAGACTTGTTTTTATTATGATTGCAGGAGCCTATTGGAGTGCAGTTAGATCAGCCCGGTTCCCTGACTTTGGCTATGTGTCAACTACTGAATGAGATCCAGGAATCTAAGAAGAGTGTGGTAACACCACGGGAGTTGTTCACACAAGTTTGTAAAAAGTGAGTGTGACTACAAGTTTAGGCACCCTTGAGATGTGCTTCAAATGTGCTGCCTAGCATCACTGCATTAAACATATTTCATTGTCTTGTCTCCTTTCTGCAGGGCTGCCCGGTTCAAAGGGTTTCAGCAGCAGGATAGCCAAGAGCTGCTGCGCTACCTTCTGGATGGGATGCGAGCTGAGGAGATCAAAGTATGCATTTAGTTTTAAACAAATCTCGCTACATCAACTTGGTTAAAGATTTACACTTGAAATGGGCACTGTAGCTGTGCTTTTCCTCACATTTAATGACCTCAGAGATTTTGCTTTTCAGAAAGCTACTCCGATAGGTTGGTTAATTTTGACAGAGCAGAGGCTTTATAAGAGTGCCATCAGGGTGTTAAGTGGCTGAAATCATTGAGATTTTTTGAAAATGTTGTACATCTTATTGTGCAATATCTTTTCCTTATTGTTTATCAAAAGCTTATTTTCATCATTTACATTTAAAGATTGTTTTTGTCTCTACAGAGAGTAAGCTCGGGCATCATGGAAGCATTGAAAGAATCTGGAAAAGGCACAGATGGAGAGCAGCTGAAATCCCTTGTTAAAGGTAAGTAACTGGACTAGAAATTGAATATTGTTTTAGCTAGTGTCATGTGAGCAAGAAAAGGGTGCATTGTATACAATATTGGCACGTCTAATAATTAACTGGGCCCTCTGACAATGAAGTTCTGATTTCAGAGTACGAGAAAAATGGATTACCCAAAAACTTTGTTGACCACGTTTTTGGTGGGGAAATGACCAGCACTATAATGTGTCAGCAGTGTAAAACGGTATGTATTGTGGACGGAAATCTACGATAACTGTCAGTGTCCTGTCATTGTCGAGCTAAATGGCCACTACTTTGCACTTACAGGTGTCTGTAGTCACAGAGATGTTTTTGGATCTCTCCCTTCCTGTTTCTGATGAGGTAAGGTTATGAGTGTTTTTTGACAATTTGTTGGGCAATTATTTGTTCATTTTTGTTTAGTATTACATGCATGTGCTCTATTCTGACCACATCTTACAGGCATATAGAAAGAAGAACCAGAAAAAAGTTCAAAACACCAGTGAGTCAAGCCAGGATGGCAGGAACAGCCCTGCTTTGACCAACGGAAATGATGACATTCCCACCAGCAAGTACCAGCAAAAGAAAGCAAAGAAGCAGGCGAAGAAGCAAGCAAAGGTACCTCACTGAATGTATATATATATATATATCTTTTTGATGGATGGGTGTTTATACATTGTACAGAATAAACTGAATTGTCTGTATTGTTTTTTTGTTTTGGCCTACAGCATCAAAAGAGACAGCAGAAGCTTGAGGGCAGAGTCACTTTGGACAGTCTCACATCTCCAAGCCACACAGAGGGGGAACAGACAGATCCTATTACAGATGCAAAGGATGGGGAAAATGCTGACAATGAAACACATGAAGAAGCCTCGCTGAGTGAAGGAAATCAGGTCTCTGAACAGGACCAGAAAAACCATGACATGATCCAGGACGAATTGGAAAATGAAGAGGACGAGGATTCATTGATTGACTGCGACTCATCAGCTGCGTCATCGGTCAGCAACCGTTTTACTGTCTTATCAGAGGAGCAACACTCAAAGGACAGCATCATAGACGATGAAAAAACATCTGACATGGATCAGGAAGGAGAAGAAGATACACCGCTGGTGAGTGAAATGGAGAAAGTAACCTTGGAAGATACCTTCATAGAAGACTCTGATTCTGTGGAACAAGTCATGGAGACTGAAGATGAGCCACTGGAGGCTAAAGAGTACACGGTAGTCAATCAGGACCCAGAGCTGGCCTTCCAGACCCTGTCTATCAGGACGGCCCCTGAGAAACAGGAGTGTTCAGTGCAGTCGTGCCTTTTTCAGTTCACAGAAGTGGAGACCCTCACGCAGAACAACAGCCTGCTTTGTGTCACATGCACTAAACGGCAGCTGAACAAAGACAAAGCTGGAGGTATGTGTATTTCCTCTCCATAATAATTTTTGACCCATTGTTGATGTGCTTTTGTTCTTGATATAAAACAAAAAAAAAGTTATTTTGGATTTGTTGTAGTACAATATCACAAATGCACTAATTCTAACAAGACAAGAAGCCAATTAAATTGTGTATCTTTGCTCTTTTTTTTTTAAGAAACTCACTCTTCTGTTTGGGGATCAGTTCAGTTCATCTTTATTTGTGTTTTGTTTAGGCTCCAAGAAGAATATTTACACTGATGCCTTTAAGCAAATGCTGATCTCCTCTCCCCCACCAGTCCTTACCCTTCATTTGAAGAGATTTCAACAGGTAAGTCAGTTAAAGAAATTCCAACATTTTTACACTTATTGATCCTGTTGACTGTCTGCCAAGCTGTTTTTTTTATTAATCTGTGAACAAAAGAGTATGAGACATTATCATTTTTGTTGTCTTTTGTAAGGCAGTGAAACACTTCCTTTTATGCAATTTTAAATGAGCTCACTTTTGTTGTTTTCCTCTAGAATGGATACAGTATTTGTAAGGTCAACAGACATGTCCAATTCCCTCTGATACTGGATCTAGCTCCCTTTTGTGGGGTTAAGTGCAAGGTAAATGTTGAGAATAACAGCTTTTATTAAATATCATTACTCTTTGTACATGTATCATTGTTTTATTATAATCTGAGCACTAATAAAAAGTTGTTTCCGAACAGAACGTGACAGAGGGAGATACTCAGATTTTGTACAGTCTGTACGGTATCGTAGAGCACAGTGGAACAATGAGGTCAGGTCATTACACAGCCTATGTGAAAGTACGACCTGAGTACCCTAAACCCTCATCCAACGGACTTGCAGCAGAAGGTAGGGGACCTCAGGTGTGACAATCAATGGAATTATAACTTGGTCCTAACATTTTAAGTGTCTCCACTAACTCATCACTTCTCTTCAGGAGATGCACAGCCACCCAGAGGATCCTGGTTCCATATCAGCGACACAAGCGTTCAGCCTGTGAGCGAGAGTAAAGTCCAGAGTTGCCAAGCCTACCTCCTCTTCTATGAAAGAATCATCTAATAAAATCATGCCTCACTACTCAGGAAATCCAAACAAACCAAACTGCTGCTGCTTCAGCTCCTCAGTATACGGGATCTCAAACAGTTGACCAACCATGGCCTGTTTAGTCAGGGACTTAAACTGGGCTGTGATGAAATTATATTGATTATACATAAAGGACATTCGCCAACCTTGACTTTTTCCATCACAGAGATGTCGAACAATGTTTCAAGTATTAACCAGTACAGCTGTATGTTTTCACACTCACAGGAATATGACAAGGTGTGCAATGAAAGTCTAGATGGACATTGAACAGATCGTGGTATTGGATTTGTACACGTAACAAAAATTGATTTCAAGATGAATTAAAGATGGGGAAGAGTAATTTGTACAAAATATTTATATGTCTATTTTTTATCAATGTCATGTAATGAAATGCAAAATAAGAGAAGTTTTTCCTGTCTTGTGTGGTGGCTTTCTGACTCTTGCACTGAGCATGCGCAGTGAGTGCTAACAGCTTCTGGTCCGAGTTGTCACATGACGAGAGAAAAGTCTGACTCCGGATGGCCAGAGCCGTCTCTGCACAAAATTTACCAATGGCAGTGTTATCAAGCTGACATGGCAGGTCAGTGAACATTGGGCCTTTTTTTTTAATGAATATTAAAAAGTGAAGTTACTGTTTCTGAAGGTTTTACTGTTTAGTTTTTGTTTAGTGTTCGCTCGGTACAAGTTAACGTTGTAGTCATTGACCGTAAGGTTACTGCGTGGCCTAGCTTAAATCCTCTCCGTTTGGATAACATTTTCGACCATTACATTAATATCTTAATAAAACTGTCGTCAGTCGTTATACACGTAAAACGTCGTAGTCCTAACTAGGTTTTTCGTTACGCCTCCACAGGCCCAGTCGGGTGACTTTGCTAAACATGATTCAGCATTTTAAACTTGCTGTCCAAGAGTTACAATCCAGTCTGCAGCAACGTTAACTTATTGGTCCTCCAAGTGTTAGCTAGCTAGTTAATTCAATGTTGTCAGAGATCTATCTAGTCAGTGCAATGTTAACATAAGTGACTGCATTTAGCTAAGTTACACCAGTTTTACTGATGTCAGACAGAAGCGCTGGAGCATGAAACCCCAGATCACTAATAACCTGGATAATAATCAGTTATTCTATCTAAATAATTAAATTGCATTTTGTGCATTTAGCAGACTCTTTCGTGATCAATAATTGCCTTTAATGAGAAGGGACTGTCAAGTGTCTTGCATAAGTGACCTTTTCTGCTGACCATAAAAATTACACTTAACTGTCTTAAGTTCCTGAAAATACAGACAAATAAGTACATTTGCAGTGGCTTTACGTAACCATAAAACTCCCCTTTTGTATGTGTTGAAGAACCATCTAAGATGACATGTTTGAAAAGTATCAGTAGGAAAATGTGTGTATATGTTGGTGTAACATAGCATTGCCTCATTACACCCCCTGCAACTAAGGAGTACATTATCAATTCAACTGATAAAATGATTTCTATCAATAGATTATTCAAATATCAATTACTCATTTCATCTATAAGATATGCAAACAATTCCCATCACAAGTCCAAGGTATTCAAATGTTTTGTTTCATTCTGCCCACTGTCCAAAACTCGATAGAGGAGGAAAGAATACTTGTGTATTCACATTCAAGAAGCAGGAACCCATGAATTAGTGCTGTAAAAAATTGGGTATTTTTTTTAAAATCATTAATCAAAATCTTTGCCAGTTACTTTTCTGTCAATAGACTGATTGAACAATGATCACTGATCCACACTGTGCTCTATTTTAATAAACAGTGTATTGTGATTATAATGCTTTTTTGACTTTTCCCTCTGTCACACAGGCTGAGCTTGTAAGAACCATGTCGCTCAAAGCTCCTCGCATGTCAGTGTTCACATTTCAGTCTGCAGTGCACAGCGCCCATGTTCTTCAGTGCCTGAATGACCAGAGGCAGCGGGATGTCCTGTGCGATGTGACAGTGGTGGTGGAAAACAGGAGTTTTCGGGCACACAAGTCTGTCTTGGCTTCCTGCAGTGAATACTTTCACAGCAGGGTTACCAGTGTCACCAGACAGAATCCCATCATCACCTTGCCTGATGAGGTCAGTGTCCCTGCTGCTTAGCTGAAGGATTTCAGAAAAACAATGACACTGCAAAGTATTTGGTCTGTTTATGAATGTATTATTAGCTGTAATTTTATTACCAGTAAAATAGTTATAGTAAGAACATGTTCCAATAAAATATGATACTGAATGTGCTACTGCTGAACTCCACTATTTTGAGCTTTGTTCATTTTAGATGGATGTGTTAGTACCAATGGTTAGTACCCACTGAGCTTTATATGCAATGTAATTTCTATAGGTTGGTTCAACAGCAGTTTTATGCAACTAAAAGTCATACATTTCAGGACATGTATCAAACAGCCCTATGAATCTGGTTATCCTATGTTCCTTTATTAGCTGGTCACCTTTCTAGTACGGTCATATTGTAGTAATTTATAGCTGTGTGAGTTCTGTTGTGCCTCAACAATTTGCTGTATGTCCTTGCCCCACAGGTGACCGTTGAGGGGTTTGAGCCTTTGCTTCAATTTGCCTATACATCAAAGCTGCCCTTCACCAAAGAAAACATCCATGCCATTCACAGCAGTGCTGAGTTTTTGGGATTTCATAACTTGGAATCAGCATGCTTTGATTTCCTCATCCCAAAGTTTTCTGAAGGCAAAAGAACCTCACAGGAGGTCAAGCGTAGAGCTTGTTGTCAGAGCCGTGATGCCAGTGCCAGCGTTGGCTCCAGTGTAGGGAGCAGCCAACCAAAATCATTTGAGTCACACGGCTCAGTGCCTTCAACAGGTGATGAACGAACAGACTTCACATCACAGTGTCCTCAGAGTGCACAGGGTCAGTCGAATAGTGGGGAAGACCACTTCTGTTTGGAGAACTGTGGACCACAAATGGCCCCCTTATCTCTGGAGTTAACAGCAAATGGCGTGTGCCCCATGTTGTCTTTGCCATGCCCAGACTCTGACAAAGTGGATCATTCCTCTCAATTCTGCGAAAGGGACATTTTAGAGATAGGAGATGTGTGTAATCAGAGTGAGTTGAGTTTGGCAGACTGTGGCTTACCTTGTGAGCTGTCAACCACAGGGGATGTGAATCCGCCAGAACTCATTGAGCCAGAAGGCAGCAATGTTAAACAGACTGTTGAGACGCTTGGTGCTGAAACCAACTGTAACCCTAGTTCATGTCCACTCAACACATCAGGGGCGGAAGATTGCCGTAAGTTATTAGAGCAAAGTGAGGCTGGCCTTGAACAGAGGATGGCAGGTGATCTCTCAGACCCTACACTTACTGCTCTAAGCCACGAAGAGGGATTTGGGGAGAGGAGCAGCGTAGAGAGAGAGGTGGCTGAACATCTGGCGAAGGGATTTTGGTCTGACCTATGTCCATCTCATGCTCAGCCACTCCCCCTGGATCCCATAGACCAAAACAATCTGGCAAAAGCATCAGACTTTCATTGGCTTAAGCAGCTGGACCTGACCTCCAGTGTAGGAGACTGTCCCTTCCTCAAGGAACTGGAGACAGGTGGTGACCCACCTCCACCCACTGACAGCCTGTCCCAGTCAGAGAAGAGTCCCTACATGTCTTCCTCGCTCAACTCTGGGGATGACTCAGACCTGGACACAGATGGAGATACTGAGGCCAACAACAAAAGAGCAGCAGAGGTCACTGTGATACACAGCTGATGTTGATTTTTAATGATTATTTATAGTTGAAAATAGTAAATAATAAGTAAAATAAATAACCCTGTTTTCTACAGATTCAACTTCCATTCCCAGTGGAGCAGATCTCAGCACTGAGCCGGAGTGCCTTCCAGCAGCTTTTGAGACGCCATAACCTCACCCAGGATCAGCTGGAATTTGTCCATGACGTCCGCCGACGAAGCAAAAACCGTGTCGCAGCTCAGCGCTGCCGAAAGAGGAAACTAGATAGCATACAACAGCTAGAATGTGAAATCAAAAGATTAGTAAGTTTCCCTTACTATGTCCACTATTCTCAATATGTTGTCAAACATGATATGATTGAATTTAGTATTTTTCCTGAGCTATAACTACTCTGTGAGCTTTGACCTCTAGTGGTGAACAGTGGGAACTGCAGCAATGTGAATAGAAGTACTTTTGATATCCTAAACAAGTTTGTAGTACAGCCCCAACCAAACCTTCACCTGTCCATTTGACATAACAAAGGTGTTATATTTGCACTGGAAGTCTGCTTTATGTTTTGTGGTATAAAAAGAAAGCTTTTTAGCATTGTTATATTAATACATGCTTGTATTTACCACAGCCTTCTGGTGTGGTAAATACAAGTGTTTGGAAATGTACATAGAATGAAGGCGAGCAAAATCACAGCGCAGCTAATCAGAAACGTTATTTCAGAAGATCAGATTTTCACCTACTAACCACTTTATTCAAAACTTCTGATGCATTTGAATGAGTTTTACTGTAATTCTCTGTACAGAAAGGTGAGAAAGAGCGGCTGCTGCAGGAGCGAACTGAGCTGGAACAAAACCTGGAAGAGACGCGACAGAGTCTGTGTGGTTTATGTAAGAGCGTCAGCATCGAGTCTGGTTCTGATGAGGACCACTTGCAACTTCTTGCTAAGCTCTCCTCACCAGACTTACCTATTTTGTCACCTAACCATGTGGGTAAAGATGAGGAGTCCCAGATCAATATTGAAATGGTAAGTTGCTCCTCAGATTGTGACCCAAGCACCCAGCCGGCAGGCTCAGTTCAAACTGCTGCACCAGAGGCCAGCACACAGACAGAGGAGGCAGGTTCTCCAGAGAGCTGCCCTGATCCTGCATCTCTGCTCAACACCTGTCTGGACATTAACAATATACTGTAATCCCCTTTTGGGATAGATATGCTTTCCTGTGTATTTCACTGAATGATTTTCTGCCTGATATCAGTCTCTTAAAGTGACATAGAGAAATGTCAGATTTCCTTCACTGTATTTCTAATATGCATTTTACTGTAGTAAACACAGATTCCAGTATTAATCATTTTGAAAGTGCAGACAATTTTCAGGTAATTTCCAATTCCATTTGTACATTAGGAGGATGTTTCGTAAAATTAAGTTTGTTTTTCTCAGGGAAACTCATAACCCAATTGTCTTTTATGGCTAATATAATTCTTGCTGCACACCCACCTAACTCTCCTCCTTTATGCACACATATTCTCACAGTTATAAAAAAACATTTATTTAATTTTAGGCAAATTTGTCTATCATTATAATCTTGACACATACTGTATTATTCCCCCACTATGCTGTTTCTTTTGTTAAATATGCACAGCACTAACAGATCTTTCTACAGTAGATTATGAGGAATTGTTACGGCTAACTTAAATTCTCAACAGCATTATTTGAATGCCAGTGGATTGTTTGAATGAAAGTTTGAGGAATGGTTTCAGTGTGTCTGAGTGTGTTACAAGGGAACATAAGAAATTATGTTATTTGATGCAAAATGTGCCTTACGCAGTAGTATAGTATGAATACAGAACAAAAGGCAACCTTTTTATATTCTTGTCTCAAGCACTGTTGCACATTAACCCAGAGCCCATATTAATGGCATTATCTTACATTTAGGTCTGTCTTCATATTGAGTATTTTTTGTTAAATGCTTTCTTGGATTACATGTTTAAATAAACAACATTTTGTTACCATTCAGTGTTTTATTTGAATATCCCCTCCTCTATTGATGCACAGTCCCACAGTTTGGCCAGTAGATGGAAGTCCAACTCTATTTACCTCAACAGCTATTCGGACCCTTAATTGACTGACTGGAACACTTTTACAGTATGAATGGTTCCTTCTGCAATTTACCTGCAAGAGACTGAGCCTTCTTTAGATATCTTTATGCAACCTCAAGTTTTGAAGTTGCAAAACAACAACATGTAGCATTGCTTATGTCAGACTGTTCAGTGAGCTGTAAATGAAGAACAGGAAGCTGGTTCAGAACTACTTGTGTTAACATAAACAAAATTACTTTGTGACCTAAAAGTAATATGCTTGTTGCACATGATGCTGAGGTTTTATAAACATGGATTTAGACAAAACTACATGCATTTCCACTTGATAGCAAAAATATGTTGGGTAATACTTCTGCTAGTATCTGGAACTGAATAGGTGTCTACAGATATATTAGATCTACAGTACTACAGAGTATCATTAGAAAGACTATAGATGGGACTAAATTAGGGCTGAAATTAAAGGCAGGCTCAGATGAGACTAATAAACGAGCTATGTAAAGAGTGAAAGTATCTAGAGGCTCTGCAGACAGGAAATTGGAAAAAGTCAGGTGTAAATGACAGCTGTGCAAACTGAGTTGCAAAATTCATTATGCTGCAGATGTAAGGAAGAGGACCTGGCAAACTAGTGGAATCAGACATACCATGTTCCAGACAATTGTAAATCTGTGAAAAAAATCAGTAGATTGCATTTCTTTAACTGTATCGAGTTTGTCATTTAAACAAACATCTATGTTGCTTTTATTTTTTTAGAAGCAAAGCACCTCATGGGACTTCTTATTTATTCACAAATGTACACATACATGTTTAGTAGGCTGCAGATTGGGCACAAGAGAGAAGCTGTTCAGTCATAATTAAACCAATTCTACACATAACCTGTGAAAGAAATGGAAAGTAAGCCACCTGAGCCATTGTATTGATGAACAAGCTATAAAACAAATTTAACTGCAGTTGTAACATTCATTGCTTTCAAGTTTTACAACTGCAGCAGATATTCCTCACTTGTCAATAAATAGCACACATCTCTATGTCTACATGTGAAGGTCAATATATGTTGCTGCAGATACTTTTGATACCAATAGGTGGTGTTGGTTAGACTGGCAGGTTGCCTTAATTCTTGGTAAAGTAGCACAAAGAAGAATGAAGTAAATCATGGATATACTAGGAACTAAAGTTACTGATTCCCCCATCTGACATAAGACTGTTTTAGCTATTAGCATGGCACATTAGGCTGCTTTCCATAGACTTGTCAATGACAACTGTTGTGACACACTGTGCATTATCCTCATCTGCTCAAAAACTATTAATAGTAATTCTGTTCAGAGTTTTCCTTGACTTGACATTTAGTCTTTCTTGCATCATAGCAGCCTAGTTCTTATTCAGCTATGCATTGTTTCTAACACATCGATGCACATATAAGTCAGCTCTTAGATAAACCAAGATAAGTACAAAAAAGAAAGAAATACAGTTTAATTGAACACGATGCTTACGTGCTCATTATTAGTGCCATTCTCACTACCATTTTTGCTGTTTATAACTACTGGTTACATTTATGTGTATAATGACTATCACTGTAACATCATCAAATACACACACCTTGTTCAAAGATCTGTCTTTGAGCAGAAAACATAATAACATAACAGCAATCATTGTAAGTCTAACAGTTCATGTTATTGTTGGTTTTACTGTGTCTGCAGACCTGGTTCAGCTGATGGCTTGAGTGTCAGGCTGTGAATGTCCATCCTTTAGCACTAAAAGCAAACTAGGATAAACATTTGACAGGGTTTAAATAGTTCACATTCACAGAGCTATAATGTGAGCTGACAATGGTCTGAGTGCTCCCTCTTATTTCAGAGCGGAGAGGATCTTGGTCAACAAACCAGTATTAAACATAGAACAGCCATTTCAGAAAGACCCTTTAAAAATCACAGAAGCAATTTTGTCAAGATGGTTTTGTCTTCTGATATGAATTAACTACATCTTTGAGTTTGTACAGTGCTTGGCTTGTCGTTTTGAGTCCTTTCAAATAGCTGCTGTAGCACTAGGGGTCGATGAAAGAAAACGCAATCTCATTGTGTTTCCCACAGAACAAACCTCAAGGTTAAATTGGTAACTATACCTGCAACACTGAAGCAACTAATAAAACTCTCTTTGGGAAGTCAACTCACATACACACACTGACACACAAAGCTGTGACTCTAAACTCAACAAGTGGTGTTGCATCTAAAAGTCAAAAGGATTAGATGATGATAATGCCACAGAGATAAGATATCGTCTCTCCCTGTGCTGCCATGACACATCTGTAGAAGATCCTTTAGCTGACATTTGTCAAAACTGGCATCACCTTCAAATACCAAAGCATTCCAAAGCATTATGAAGTGGACCCATTTCTAACCTTCCCTCTCCAAAATTAGGATTCTTCCCTGCTGTTTGTGTCTTTTATGCACAGTTTGGATTTTAGAGCATTGTAGCACAAAAAGTAAGATTATCCTCTTTTGCAGCTACACAGGAAGAGAAACTTGATTTGAGGAGGAAGCAGCTGTGCGGCATGGCAAGGTCAGAGGCCCATAATCCGCGGCCTCATTCATGCGAGATTAAAAACCTGCTCTGAGTTCTGATTAAGAACGCAGGGTTAGAAGATTAAAGACCAGCAAACAAAATGAAAGCAGTTTAAGCCCAATCCTGGAATTCATCAGAATACCAAAACCTTAAACTGTCATTACAACGTGAGATTAATGCAAAGCCCCCTTGAACTCTGTATCTTTCTTGATATATCTTCTGTGTCTGAGCCTATATTTCTTTTTTTTTACCCAAAATCTGGATGATCTCTCACTTTCTTCTGTGTCATTTCTCTTCACCACCCTCTTCTCTTTCTTCTCTTATTTTTTTTGTTTTAATGAAATATTCACATATTGACTGAGAACACTGTCAATCCTTTTTTTTTTCTTCTGCGCACAATACATGGTTTGATATTTATAAAGGATTTACATTATGTCCCTTTTACCTACTTTTCACATTAACTCCAGTCATTATCTTCTGACAGACAGACTCCACAGTACTTAGGTAGCAAGGATTAGGAAAAAGGAGGCGAGGGGGAAAACAGGGATAAGAAATTAAAACATCTGGAAGCTGGAATTGCTAAAGCAGCAAACATATATGCTAATAGAATTGACAAACACATTGCAGCGTGACACTCATGGAGCTGACTGGACTTTCCTGCAGGCTAATACTGACCGTTGTTTTAGCGCCACAAGTGCAAATATCATTGATTAGGTCTTGTTAAACAAGCAGTAATGGTTACAGAATTGTGGTCGCTATAACTTTTCCATATGCACTTCCAATTTGAGACAAAAATGAGTTGTCTAAAAAACCACACAGTCTTATTGTTGGAACATCAGAACAATATAAACCAAAGTTCTTGATAGGATGATATTGGTCTCCACCTCAGTAAAAACCAGATTGTAGACTTGATATTCAATTAGTTTTCAAATCCCTTATTATTTATTGCAAGAATGCTAATAATCATATCTTATATAAATAACAATAGTGGCACTGCAGCGACTTCTGTCTTGGACTGCTTAATGCAGTACTAAGGAGTGGACATTATAGTATTGGAGTTTCTCTTGCAGAGGTCAAAATCCTAGAGAAAGACACAATACGTGCATAATCAATTGCAGCATAAGGTCCATGACCTTCTTGCAACACAACATAAATCTTATAAGCTGAGTTGAGATACTGTATCCTAACTGATTACATGCTGCAGTCACTATGAACTTCATTTTAGGGGTAGTGCAGAGAAGGGGGCTGTATCCCATTGACAGGATTATATAAATGAGGACCATAATACTGTAATCTCCCAGAGAAATGAGAGAAACCAGGGGACATGCCGACCCCAGCTAGCTAGCACCCTGGTCTGCAACCTTCAGATTAACAAACAGCTGGTTGTACAGTGACAGATTACATTCACACTTATTTTCTTCTCTTAACAGTCCTCACTGTGTTGCATTTGTAATGCTAGAAGCACAAGGAAAAGTGCCTTTCAGGACAAGACGAAGAAGTCATACAGTATCAGAGAACAACTACTTAACGAGGAAATTGTCAGAACTTATCAGTGTCAAGAGCCAACTGGAAAAGCTAAAACACCAATTTTGCCAAGTACATTGGTTTTTAATTAACTTCACTGTTGTGATCAGTCAGATTCAGCAGAGTAATTCTTTCAGCTTAGGAGTGCAGAAGAAATCCCCAAAGTTTAAAGAAAGCCATCATACTTAAAATAAAGTCACATACTGTAAGTTAATCATGCGATTGATATGTGCTGGTGTCGATAGAGTACAATGGAAATATGTTTTTTTAAGTTTGTATATGTTATAATTGCCAGATGGACAGCAAGAGGATTTCATGTCTAAAATTAACAGCCAGATTGTCAGTTGCTGATCCACTTTGGTGCAACACCAAGTGAACATCAGTTACAAAATGTTGTCAGATGTAGTCAAAAGATAACCAGTTCACAATCGCACACCTGCAATTCAGATGAAGCAATTATATGTATTGTATGTAATATGAATATGAACAATTTAAAACAAAATTTTTAACAAGAATATGGGATTCATTTTTATTATCAAATTTATATTAATTAATAGAACAGTATTAAAATGAAATGAATTAAAAACCCAATACCCTAGGTAGGTGCAGTCTATTTTTCTTCTTAAGGTGTGTGTTTTTATGGCAAAGGAACATACTGTGTAATACTGCCATCCCCTTTGCTTGGGTATTTCTCCTCATTGTTGTGTGACACTTTAAAGACATACCCAGGTCCTCCATCACAGCACTGAAATGAATCAACTGTAAAAGAAGCATAGATGTTAGGATACAAATGTAGAAACAAAGTGTGAAAAAAAGGAGAGACACAACACTGA